TTCTGACTGAGTTTCAAGTTGGCATAAAATAGGTAATTTTTATGTATGTAGTTATATTTAAATATGCTTATCTAAATATTTTTATATAAGATAATACTTGTACATGACTATTAACTGGTAAATTTAGAATGCAGTTAAGTATTTTTGTTAGAAAATGTCATGAGCAAATACAATTGCAAAAAACGATTTCTATTCACTAGCCAAATTTGCTCTCGAACTGTTAGTGAGCCTCATGTTGAAGTTAGCAATAGCTTGCAGTAAATTGAACGTACAATAAAGACTTCCAAGATATAAACTATAAATTATTTTAATGAAAAATTTTATTTGTGGAGTATAAACTCCAGTAATTGTGGAAAAGACATTGTTCATGAGGTGGGGTTGTTTCAGTCACTACTGTATCCCTGGTATCTAGAACGATGCCTGGCATGTAACAGGTATCAGTAGATGGATGGATGGACAGATAAACAACTGATTAGTATTTATATATAACATCCCTAATAAAATGTTTGGATCCAAATAAAATGTTTAACTTTTTTGCAGTTACTAACTTACCTCTTTGAAATAACTATTCAGAGTATTTAAAGAACAGGATGATATTTCTGTGGCCTGGTACACTTGTGAAATTTCCCACATAGGTTGCCTGGGTGGAGTTTCCATTAAACTTTATTCAAGTAACATGTGAAGAATCCAACTATTGCCCCAGGCATATGCTTGAAAAGTATTCCTACTTTGTCGGATCAATCGTACAAGCTGTGTTAGCTGCACTAAATTGTATCTGTCACTGCCAACATGGGTTTTTAGCATGGTGAACAGGTGCAGACAGAAATAAAACAATGTTAAGTGATCTTACTTAGCTAAAACTACTATGGACAGCACATGCACATTGAAAGACTTAGCTTCCTTCAAAAAGAAAAGTCCAGAATAAAAGTAATGAAAGTCAGAAAATACCAGCAGGAGATGACTTCCTCTATACTAAACAATAGGAAGCATTGAAGTTACTTGTTAAGTTACAAACCAGCAAGGAAATCTAAAGAAAAACCTGACCTGTCACCAAATTATAATCCCAGTTGCTCATATAACTGGTTACAGACCATAGTTCTCTCTCTCTCTTTTTTTTTTTGGAGGGGGAGAGGAGAAGGGAGCTGAAGTTGTATAAATTCTTCTTTTTTTAAAGTGATGTTCTTCAGTTAGATGAATCTTCAGAAATCTCTAATCTCTTTGATTCTTGTAGTATGTTTAAAAGATTGTAAAAAAAAAATCAATCCAGGTAATAACTGAAAGATTAAAATACTACCTGTGCTCTGCCTCAGATGTGATTGTCCCATTTCTGACAAAGCTGAAACTCATTACCTGCGGCAGGTAGCACACAGTAGGCATCCATTTGCGCCTAGAGCAGTAAGAGGTCTTGCAGGTACAGCAGCATGCAGCATTAGGGTAATGACCTGGTTCAGAAGACCAGCTCACTTGTGACAGACACAGTCCCAGTCGTATCACAGATGTAATAAGTTTAAAGGGTCCCAGAATTACAAGCCTTCCACCCTTTCCCCAAAACCCTTGTCTATCTGTAAGAAATAAGGGTTAACAAAAAATACAATATTTTTTAGTAGAAGTAATTCACACAAAAGAGAAAAATAAATAAATTCAGGATATAACAAATGGCACACAGTGGGAAGTAATGTTCTCCTTCATTCTTCCTCGTTTACCTTGCCACTGTGAACAATTTCTATTTTTAGTTATAGAGATCACCTCCATGACTTTCAGTAATACACATAAATTTTGCTCCTTGAAATACTAGCTTCAGACAGTATCTACTGACTCCTTACTTTAAAATATGAGGAAATTAGTGCATCTGTTCCTCCTTCATTCTTTCTTTACCCTTCTACATTCTAATTTTTGTTATAGTATCATCTTTATATTATAATGTTTATACTTTCACATTTTGTTATGTGATTATAGATGTGACTTCCCTATCTAGAAGAAATCAGTAAATGGTGTGTACAATATTATAATAAAAATACTTTTTATTATAGAACCAAAAAAGAGTGATTGAAATGCAGAAAGGAATGTAATCCTAATCCTCCATCATTTAAACTTTGCTTTTCTAGGAAGAATCTTCACGCATCCCAATATAATAGAAGTTCTCATTTTTTTATCTGGCTTCCTTCATTTCTGTGTCATCCTTATCTGGCACCATTATCCATGTGATCCTCATTCTACATTCTTTCTTCACTGTGCTATACTGTTTCAAAAGATTTTAACATGATGAGTATGTGAATGGCGAATTTCAAAGTTTTTACACTTCTGAAAATGACTTCATTGTGCCTTCAGTTTAGAGTCATAAGTGTCTGGCAAGCCCATTAATGTAAGACATCATTTGACATGTTCCATGTATGTTGGCGTGTGTGTATTTCATATGTATAGAATATATATTGTATAGAAATGTACTAATAAATTAAAACATTATAAAGATATTAAAGATAGTATATAAGTATATAGTATCTATAACATCACTAAAGATATAGTCTACCTATTAACATAAAGTAGTCTATAAACATGAATATTCTTTCTAATGTTTGATGAAAAACAAGACTGAGTACATTCATCACCTCCATTGTGTTGACTTTTTACTGATGTTCTTCAGGACACAGCAGCCACTTTAGCCCTTAATTCTACCCTTGGAGCTGAGCATGACCATGAGAATCCATAGACACTATAAAGACAAAGGAATTGGAGAGGAATGTGGACAGATTAGGTAAACAGAGAAAATAAAGGGCCAAAGGAAGAAGAACTAGATTGGTGAAGAACAAGCTCTTGGTTCAGAGTCATGGATTGCCATGCCCCACTTCAGAGTTCCCAGTTTTCACTTTTATCGTAGAGATCATCAAAGAAAAATACAAAGCAGCAATAACTTTCTAGTCATAGGCATTATTTTTCTTTTATTTGTATAAATCAAGTACAAGAACTCCTTTCTGTGTTACTTTTTAGATCAGTAATCCTTCATTGTCTAGGACATTTTCTTTTCATTTAACAACAGATTATGAATTATTATTAAAATAGACTCAGGTAGTGGATTTTCAACTTTATATCTTGTAACTTGAAGCAACGTTTCTAGTGATAATTTATAATCATTTAAATCTCTTCAAGTAGTCCAAAATAAGAAATTGCCTTAACACATTGGTCTGACATAAAAAATTATGAATTTATTGCCTTTGTTTTCAAAAATTGTGCATAGCCTGCATACTCAAACCAAGAGCCACAGATATACATGGGCCACCCTCTTCTTTCTTCATTGTTCTCATTCTCAGTAGCACTTCATGTCCATCTGGAAGAAAAGAGTATTAAGATCGTCTCACTCCCCATGTAGCTTTCTGCCAAGCAGAGCTTAGGATTTCTAGATTTCCTTATTATTTTTCTTTCGTAGTAAGAAGTAACCGGCCTGGGACCAAATGGTTCAGAATTGTAGCATTTGGAAGAGATCATTGAGGGCTACCACTGAACTGGCCAAACTGTGGTAAAAGGGGATGTTCTGGTCTTTTCCCTCAGAGTTAGCACTCCAGCTTGGGATGTTGCTTATAAAAGGTTATTCTGTTTTCTTTTGGATTTTTGTGAGAAGCAGCTTAATTGATGGACGGGTTCATAGTTTTCCTGGCATTTTACTTGAAAGTATCTTTGAAAATGAGTCCTTACAAGAAGCATGGGTTTCCGTCTAAACTCCTAAATGACCATTTTATGCTAATTTCCTGTTTTCTCTTATTTAAGATCATTTTTAGACTGAAATAGATCCCTTATATTTTCTAACGTTTCAAATATAATTGGAAGTCTGAATGTCCAGAGAAATAAGTGTAGACTCAGGATTTTAGTATGAGAATTTTCAAACTTCTCCCATAATTCTATGTTGTTAACTTAAAATTAGTGTAGCTTTCTTCTTTGTTTATGTTTTTACCTTTGAGTACCTTTTCGTGTAAAAATATAGTGAAGGGAGGTGGTGATTTGAGGGGGACGTGGTGATTTGAGGAGAAGAGTAATGTGGGAATATTGTCACTTCTTTTTAGTTAGATCTGCCTCCCTTGTGGGATAACCTGTGTCATTGTAGTGCTCGTATTTAATGTCTCGGAAAGACAGTAAGTTTCTGAGTAGCTACTATTTGCCTGATATTGGGCTAAATGTTTTGTATGCGTTTTCTCATTTAACCATCACAACAACCTTTGGAGGTAGATATAATTGTCACCCCTACTTGACAGATGAGGAAACTAAGGCTTAGAAAAGTTAGACTGTATAACTAAGGAGACACAGAACTGGCAGAATTTAGATTAATCTCACTCAAAATCCCATCCCCTTAATTTCTATGTCATACCATCTCTCAGAGCTTTCCAGGAGGGAAATGTTCTCAGTGAAGGCTACAAAAACACTTGCTTTATTTCTTCATTTTTTTCTCATTTTCATGTTCTTATGATGGAAATGATTATGGAAAATGCAAAAAGCATTCTTTAAGTGTTTACCTCAGTTTGTATAAATCTGCTTCAGTCTAAGTGGACGTCATTTGTACCTCCATCGTTGATCCTTTATAATGCCATTGTAAGAAGGATTCTTTGTGGATTAGACCCTTTACTGTGTGCTTACATTGGCGTTTTGATTCACTGTGTTCTGAATATTTTCAGTGCCATAATATCTGAAGTGAGTGTTTTTTTAATACAAATTCTGGTTTTCTAAAGTAGCAAAATTTTATAAGTAAAAACCTAGCCACTTAATTAAAAAATCTTATCCTCAGGTCATAGCACTATAGTACTTTCTGGTGAGCTTTTAAATTTGATTCTCTCAGGGTGTAAATCTATAACTTCTACAATTTGAGGCAAAAGAAAATTTTTGGCAAATACAATATGAAAAAGGATAAATACATATGCACCTATCATATAGTTTTGATAAAAGTGTTTTATGTTGTTTTCCAGTCCATTGTTAACTAGATTTTGTTTGATAATAATGTGTTATCTTTGTGTTCACAGGGTAGCCATTCTACAAAAGTAGAAGCTGTGGTCAGAACTCTGATGAGAATCCAGCTTAGAGATCCCGGGGCTAAAGCTCTTGTTTTCTCAACGGTACAGTCAACATTTTCATCCTCAGTGTTAACTCAGGCTGACTTTCTGTTTCTAATCAGTTTATATTTGAGAACTAATTGTTAGTGTTTGCCATAATATCGTTGAGAATTAGAATTACTGACAGAAAAAAAATCGTAACACAGAAAAATGTATGTCCATAGGACAGAAATATTTTTAGAGAAATTTGATGATGCTTCACAAGGTAATTCCTATAGCTACATTTCATGTTTTTTTATTGATTTTACTTAGGGATTTTCTTATTAATATTTTTAAATTGAAATCTGTAATCTTAAAAGTCATTTCATAGATGAACTTGGTAAAGAAAAAGAAAATTAAAATAATCTATTGAATAAAAGATAATTGAGTAAAACTTCTAGTTTTCATTTTTCAAAGATAAGTAATACCACATCCTTTAAGCACTCCATAATTTATTTTCTATTATTTATGTTTATCTTAATTCAGTTCTTAAAGATTCTTATTTTTCTTTTTTACCATGTCTTTAACCATCATTTGATTTAAAAAAGTCTTTCAAGCTAGAACAAGATAATATTAATGGTATTTTACTTAAAGAGTTTGTTTTTGTTTACTTAATTCTGAGGTATAAAGGTTATTTTGGTTTAGTCCCTTTTCAAATCTGTTTTCTATGAAAGCTGTGTGTAAATGTTTGTTTTCTAATTTTTTGTATGTTCTTAGTGGCAAGATGTATTAGATATTATTTCAAAAGCTCTCACTGACAACAACATGGAATTTGCACAGATCAGTCGTGTTAAGACATTTCAGGTACGTCAAGATTTCATTCATGTTTTTTTGAGTGGATTCAGTTGCAAATTGAAATTGCTCTTAATTAGCCTTATTGCATTTATCGTCATGTCATATAAACCACATAAACAGGGTTTGAATTCTTGATTAATTATAAAATTAACATTTAAAGGCAAAATAAAGAAACTGCATTTATTTTTCACCTACTCAGCTGTACTCACAGCAAACCATATTTAAAGATCTTCTGACTTAAGGTCCTTTTCTTTAGTATAGGAAAAGATGGCCTAAGATATACCTTTTGAATGGACAGGAGCCTCATGCGCCTGGGATTAAATTCTAAAGACACTGCTTTAGGCAAAACTGCATATGGTCAAATTGTGCTTACCTCACACTTGGCACAATGACAGGTCACAGCTTAGAGACAAACACCAAAAAAACGACCAAGGGAAAACTTAGCAGCTTCATGTCTCTTATCTCATACTCACTCTAACACATTCTTTCTCCTCTTCCTCTAAGCTCATATAGTTTAATTTGCATACATCAAATGCATGTATCTTGTGATTCCACTATATATTATAAAGAACAAGAGAGATTGTGTGACACTTTTTTCATTAAGTCAAGCAACAAATTTATACTTTCTAAAATTGGTAATTTTACATTTCATTATCTTAATTACTACGTTTCATAATGACCTGGATACCATTAGGTATTTTAACATGAGCTAAAATATACTGCTCTTATTTTTAACTATCTAGCTAAAATTTAAATGTACCTTTCTTTTTTAGGAGAACCTTTCAGCATTTAAATATGATCCCCAAATCAATATTTTGCTGCTGCCCCTGCACACAGGTTCTAATGGATTAACTATCATCGAAGCAACTCATGTTCTCTTGGTGGAGCCCATATTGAACCCTGCCCATGAGCTTCAGGCCATAGGAAGGGTGCACCGGATTGGACAGACAAAGTAAGAATGAAAATTATCATCTGTAACATTTGGTCAAGTTTCTAGGATACATTTAAACTCGTCATTTATGTTCATCATAACCTATTCATTTTTAGTTGCACCCTTATTAAATTTTCAACTATATGACCAGAAGACATTTTGAGATTTCCAACCCTCCCTCCTCCAAGCAGCAGACCCCCAAATTCTCCCAGATTTTTATCTTTCCTCCTTCAAAAACTACCCTGATCACTTCATCAAAACAGTTTTCTAAAATATGTAGTACAACTACTAAGTTGAAGGGATCTGTCATAACTTTGAGAAGAATTCACTTTTGACTGGTTGAACCTTTATTAAAAGAAGGCATATCTCATGCATGGCTGAAAGCAAATAACTCCTTTTTAAATTCTTTCCCTTTGGAAAAAACAGCCTTCCAGATTCACTCTGAGAGACAATTAGTTTAATTTAAGGCCCAAAATAACCTAATAGTAAATATTATGTAATATGTACTACTTTGACTCAAATATCAGAATGGACAGTTATCCTTTATAAGGTCTCTTAGATATATTACTTACTGGATGTTATATGCGATGAATGGTTTTTTTTTCAATGCATCCATATTAAGCACTCATTAAATAAATATTGATTGAATGCCTACCATATGATAGGCATTATGCTAGATACTGAAGATTCAAATTGTATATGACAGTCCATTTCCCCAGGGAGATGACTGTGGTACAGAAAACTGATGATTTAATATATTATAGTAGACTGTGCAAAAATATAATACAAGTACAGTGATAACAAAAGAAGGGAGTGATCTCTTGTGCCCTAGAGAGTCGGGAAAGGCTTTGTTAGGTTGAATCTTGAAGGAATAATTATTTCAAAGTTGGGCTAGAAAAGGTGCTCACGCAGCCAAAGAGGAGTTGCCTGTGCACAAACACAGGAGATAAACATAATAAGTAAGATACGTGCTATGACAGGAGCTGGAAACGTGGAGCAGGATAAGAAGGATCAAGAGTGCGAGTGGCTGGGCAGGAAGGCGTGGAAGTTCTTATGGAGAAGCTGAACAGAGAAATGAGATAAAGAAAAGAGAGAAAAAGTGCAGATATCTTAGGGGAAAATGCTCAAGTAGACATCTAGGACCCTCCCTAGATCAGGAGTATGCCTGGCATGTGTGATGAAGAGCAAGGAGCCAGAGTTGCTGCAGAAGAGAGAGCAAGGAAGACATCAGTAGGAGGTGGAGTCAGAGAGCTGGGGGGTGGGCGGGAGCAGGGGGTGTTGTATAGGACCCAGGAGCCACCATGGAGACCTGGCTTTCACTACATACAAGAGAGGGGGCCACTGGAAGTCTTCGAGCAAAGGAGTGACACGATCTAACTTGTAAGTGTTGAAAGACCCATCCTGAGTGCTGTGTCCCAGCCTTGGGGGGAGACGAGCAAGTGAGGGTGGAAGCAGGAGGACTGGTTAGGAGGCTGTTGCAGTAACCCTGGTGGGAGCCGAAGGTGACAGACGTGTTAGCAGCGGTGGAAATGGTGAGAAGTGACCGGGCTCTGGCATATTTTGAAGGTAGAACCAATAGTATTTGTGACAGATTGGATGTGGGATGTGAGAGTCAAGGTCGGCACCGTGCTTTTTGGCCTGGACAACTAGAAGGGTGAAAAGCTTCCAGTTGAACTGGGGAAGACTACCAGGTAGGACAGAAGGATAGAAGTTTACTTTAGATACAAGTTTGAGATGTGATTAGACATCCAGAGATTTCAGTTCACTAAATGGATATGTAAGTCCAGAGTTCAAGAGAGAAATGCATTTGAAAGTCACCAGCATATAATGGTATTTTTAAGTCATAAAACTGAATGAGATTCCTACGGAGTGAATGGAGGTAGAGGGGAGGACCAGAGATTGAAATCCTGAGCACACCAAAGTTGAAGGCTGCGGGAAAAGAGGAGAAACTAGCAAAGGCAACCGATAATGATCGATCGAACAGGGAGTCAGGAAGAAAACTAGAGGAGAGAGTTATCCTGGGAGCCAAGTAAAGAATGTAACTTAAGGAGGAAGATATGCTCACCTGAGTCATGTACTGTCAAAACGTCCAGTAAGGTAAGGTTTGAGAGTCAATCATTAGACTTAGCAGCACGCAGATCAAAGCCGGTTTTGGTGGAATGGTGGAGGCAGTGGCCTGATTTGAGTGTAAGAGAGAATAGGATTTTATTTATTTGTTGTTAACGAACAGTTTCCTTTTTGTTAAGTAACTTGTCCAAGGTCACATAGCGAGTGAAAGTGGTGGCAGGTTTCTACAGCCGTTCCTCCTTCACAGCCCTTTTAATAACCACAGTGTGCTGCTGCCTCTCTGGCTGGTAGGACTAGTGTTTCTAGGAGTTTTGCTGCAAAAAGCAGAGAAAAGGAAACAAGAAAGAACAAGAGAGGTTTTGTTTTTCCCCCTTCCATATGAGAGAACTCCCAAGAGTATGATTCATTAGAGACAAAAACTAGTAGAGCAAGAGATGGGGGAGAGTGCTGGGGCAGGGCCCTCCAGTAGGTGACGATCGGATAGTCATGCATACAGATTGGCTTTAGGGAGGAGAAGGGATATTTCATCTATAGTAACAGGCGGGAAGCCACAGTATATCCCTTCCATCACAGGGGAAGAAGTCTCCTTTTCCGTTCAAAAACTAGCCATTCTACTTGCCCTGGGTCCTGTCCCTTCCCATATGCTCAAGCACGTTCCTTTGGCAGTACATTACCACATAAATGTTATCGCATGTCTTCATGTTATCTATCTTTTTAAAAAAATCACTCCCCTACATTCTGCCTCCACTTCTACTTCCTTACCTCCCATTCTCTCTCTGCCTTTCCCTTTGGGTTTTGTCCTCACCAAGCCACTGAAATGAGCCTCATAATGTTATTAATGACCTACTTCTTGCCCATGGTCCCTCAGGGTTCTTTTTCCTCTCTCTGCACTCCCTAGGTGAGTTCATCCAGTCCCAGAGCTTGAAGTAGCGTTTATATGTGGATGACTCAAATGTGCAGCCCCAGACCAGACGTGCCCCTTTAGCCCCTGTCACAGATTCTTCCACCCACTTCTGTCTCTGCACGTGTGTCAGCAGATTCCACACCTTCCCTTGGATGCCTATCTAATAGCAAACTCAAGATTAACATGGATGAAAAACAGCTATTCCTACTGCACTCCCACCTACCCCAAGCCTTCCCCATCTTACAGTGTGGCACTATTATCCATTTCTCAGACCAGAAACCTAGGACTCTTCCATTTTTCCCTCTTCATACCTCACTTCCAAACCATCATTTAAGTCTTGCCAGCTCCACCTCCGAAAATATTCCAAATCTGCTGACTACTGACTGTCACCACTGATATATTCAAAGTACAATCCACCCTCTTACCTGGACTACTACAGAACTTTCCCTGGTTTCTCTGCCTCTACTTTCTGCCTAACAGTCTATCCCCCACACAGCTGCCAAAAGGACTTCTGAAGTATAATCGAGCATAGTTCACATCACGCATAAAATACACTGATGGCAAGAATCCAAATTGTCACCATGTCCGACAAGGCCCTGCATGATCTGGCCTCTTTCCCCCTCATTTACAGGATGTTTCTGCCACCCTAGTCCTCTTTCTGCCCCTCAAACATTTTAAGCTTCTGCCAAGCACGTTCTCTTCCCCAGGACCTGGTGTTATTTACTGCTTCTTCTGTTCAGATGCTCCTCTCCCTCCTCTCTTGCTTAACGGCTTCATTCCCATCAGTCAGTCATGTTTCATCTCATATGTCAGTCTTTTCATTGTATTGTCTATACCTGAAAATATCTTATTTTCTGTGTGTTTATTGTGTATCTCCCCTCAATAGATATTAGTTCATTGAGATTATAAATAGTTGGTTTTATTGACTGTTGGCCAGCCCTCCCACCACCAGCAACTGGGTTAGTACCTGCCCCAAAAGATACCAACTGACTGACAATACAGCACATAATGTATGAAGTTTGTCTGTTCTAATTTGTTTTAAGAGGTTTTTAAACTTACAATTTTACGTACCTTCTAGACCCACTATTGTACACAGATTCTTAATTAAAGCGACAATAGAAGAAAGAATGCAAGCAATGCTGAAGACTGCTGAGAGGAGGTAGGTAGCAATTCCCTTCAAGTCGATGAGGGAACCTTTCCTGTTACATAAATGTTGTGTCAGCATGTGGGACTTCTTCACTTAGATGACCACTTAGTCAACCAAAAGATGTAAGTGCAGATACTTTTTAAAAGCAAGGTACGACATTCTACCTATTCCAGATGTTCCAGTTAATGCTCAGGACATTCTATTTTTGACCTAATTTATTAATAGGGATTGTAATGTATAAAAATAAAGTATCCTACTATTAAAGAAACTTCGTTTCAGAGCTAGTATACTTTAAATCACCCATGTGTATTTTGGGGGAGAAAACGCTATCTTACATTCCTTTGCCACACGGGCTTACTTTTTAAATGAAATCTATCTTCATGCCCAACCTGAAAGCTTTAGTCTGGTATCTGTAAGATGAAACTTACGGTGCTGCTAAATTTATTCATGACACTTGTTAGTCACACGAAGGTAGGAAGGCCTGGATTAAAACCAGGCTGGTAATTGTGATGTTAATTTCAGAAGTGGAACAGCCTTAATTTTAAGAATTTAAGTTTGGAATCATAAACCTTCCTAATATTTATCCTATAATTTATTTTCTTTAAAGTCATTTTGAAACAAACGAATGCCTTACTGAATCCTTGTGAGATAGGTATGAATGGAAGATATACTCAGAAGAGATGATTTTCTTAGATGGGATTGTTTCTACAAAGGTACTTTGCATAACAAAGAAGCCGTTAGAAATCAGAAATTCTCTTTCACTGGTGGAAAGAAAGAGGCTACCACTAGAGTCTTTTGCCTCAAACATAAAGTCTTTTTATTAGTGGTGTTTCCATACGTAACAGAATTCAGTGATTGTATTTAAGCTGCCTCAATAAAATGGTAGTTAAAAGAGTTAAATTTTTCTTGAAACTAATTTTGGATAGTAAGAAGGTAAATTGTAAGGTGAAGGTCTTAATAGTAGTTGGCAGGGGTTTTGTTTCTTTGTTTTATTCTTTGTGCAGAGAGAAACATTTTATAGCAAAGCTTGAAAACGACGTGCAGAAGTCTTCACTGATTTTAACACGTTGTAATAGTGATCCCATTGCCTACTTTCTTCTGGGAGGTTCTTACAGCTCAATTACAAAAACTTAGGAACAAATATGTTCTTATATTACTATAAGAACATAATGTTCTTATTATATTATTATGTCTTATATTCTTATAAGACAAGAACAGTATATAAAGACAAATATAGTAATTCATTCCTTGGGGTTTCTTTCTGATTCTGCTCACTTGGAAAATCCCGCAGTCACACGAACTCATCAGCGAAGCATTCAGAGGCCTCTGTCTTGACCGTGGCGGATCTGGCTGACCTATTTACCAAAGAAACTGAAGACCTTGAATGAAGTACACTTGATTCAATCCACAGACTTTATTGTATTTTAAAACTTTCATAGTTTATAGAATAAAGTTTAAGTAAAACAATCCAGTAGATGTCAGTAAACACTGTTTTCATTTGAATGAATTTATTTCCTTTTTAGTTGCACAGTGTCCTAGTAAGTACTGAGTCCTTTTCAGTATTCTGTTTCCAGAAGATCTATAAAGATTTTTAATTTTACACTCCTAATAAAATAGTTATTTTTGTTCCAAAGAGTAGCTCTAGCTGAGGGAATTGAGAGGAAATGTGTACTTTTCTTTTGATAAGATTAGTCTTTGAAAGAGTTGGAATAAGAGAGTAAGTAAACTAGTCTAGTTTTCTATGACCCAGGATATTCAACCAACTTAGATCTCATTTTTGGAAGAGCTTTCAGTATGTTTAGCACATGATTCACCAATGTCTTGTTAGTAATATTTTTAAAAGATAGTGAATTATATTAACTACTAGTTCTTTGAGTAGGTATAGACTGTAACTCCGTAAATCATAACTTTACAGTAATGCAACTCCTACCAGTAAGTTAATATTAGGCAATTATTTCCTTTCCCTGTATCTTGCTACTAAAAATTAAAACATTGAGCACTTTAAGTATTTCTATTATGTGTTAAGTATTGTCAGTCTAAGCAGTTAACTTTAGCTTTTTTAAAAGTGTATTAATGTTTACTTACCTTAAAATTATCTAAATTGCTTTTTCTATTTTTATTTTTTTTGTAGTTAAGTTTTTACATGTTTTGAGATCAATGTATCTGCAAATATTGCAATTTTATAATTTTAGTTCTCATTATAACATGGAAATATGGCAGGGTTTTTTTTTTTATCATTATTATACTGATGTCTTTGGTTCTTTTCCTTTCCCGTGTTCTTGTGTAACTAGACTTTTAACCACTAATATCTGATTTATGATAGTGCTTGTTATTTCATTCCACTAATACTTCCCTCAAGGACTAGTGTTTGATCTTTGGAACAAGAGAATGTCATATTCACATAAGCAAATAACTGCAAGTAATAATAACCTAGTGTTTCTTCTTCTGTGAAGAAGTAATGAACTTTGAAATTGTTAAATAAGGAGTAGTTTGTTGTATCCTAGCCATTCGATGTAATACAAATGTTTTTGATTTGTTTTGTTTTCTTTGAGCCTTCAGAGTTTTAAATGACCCTCAGGACTCATTAGCTCCTACTTAGTTACCCAGAAAACCGTAATAGAAATATCCCCTGGATCACATTTATCCAAGAGGCTTTGGTGCTTAGTTAAGGTGCATTTTCTTATTCTGGTTTATAGGGTGACATAATTCAGCTGAAGAAAACACACACACATTTTTGGTGCTTATTCTTCAGTTGAAAGAAGATATGCATTGATTATTTTATATGAAATGAAACAGAACTATTATTTTTGTAGCTCTTTACATATTATAAAGAGCTTTCCTATACATTTACATGCTTAATTTGCCCAGCAGTCCTGTGAAGTTGATATAATTAATATCATTCCTGTTTTAAAGGTAGAGAACTGAGATTCAGAGATATTGAAAAACGTGCCTATGATACATCCAAGTAAACAGTGGAGCCCAGGTCCCCTGGCTCCAAATCTCATGTTCTTTCTCTAAATCGTATACCTTACTGAGATTCAGAAGGCCCATGGTTGCAGTTTAATAATGAACATATTTCAGTATTTCTTTTTGTTTGTTTCCTAATATTCCCTTTTTGAGGTAAAGTTTTAGGGAAACACTTTGATATGCTTCAATTTTGTAAACAAAAAAAAAGAAGAAGAGAAAAGAAAAGAAATCCAAATATATCTATAAATATATCTATCTGTATTAGAGAAAAACTGCTGTTATTTATTTCTGTAAAATATTATCAATTAAATAAATATTTTAGTGGAAATTAAAATTTGGGGATTTATGTAATTTCTGATCCATAGAACATACTGTGTGGATTTTGTTTTTTGTTTGTTTTAGTCTCTCAACAAAAGATGTCAAAATTGTTTATAGATATTTATTATTTCTTCAAAACAGTTGTGACAGTTCTCTTAAATAATTGTTCAAAACAAATTCAAATTTAGTCCCTACATCTTGGCTGCAAATGAAGGACTTTTTTATGTCCTTCTTCCATCACTTTATATTCTCTGAAATATCATTGTACTTTTTAGTAGTTGTTCTTAAATGGATTCTTTACTAATGCACCAGTGATAAAAACTTGAGGTAATTCAAGAGCTGAATGTGTTTGGATCAGGGGGTACATCTCTGTTAAATGAATCCACTGAGCATGCTAGGACTGAAAAGACATATATATACAATGTGAAATACATACTCATAATTCCTTAGTGTTTTGCTTCAAACTCAGGTAGCTTTACTGTATTTATTGCAGCCCCAACTTTTCTCTTTGTATGAGATCTCACAGAATGGCCTGTGGTTTAGGGATCCAATTTTAGGGATTGGTCCCTTCATATCATATTAATAACAACAAGCTAAAAACTCTTTACATGATAAGTCAACATTTCACCACAAAAACTTTACAAATAATTACCAAACTTAACTTGAATTTACCAGTGCAAGACTAATCATCAACACAGGCTACCCTGTTAAGTGGACGAAAGAATGGTATCTTTTAAAACTTCGGCTCTCAATTACCAGTTCTCCCAAGACTTAGTGTGCTTGAGTTCTTTATGTTTATTAACCTACAGGATAATCTTTGAGAAATGCAAAGATCACCTATGCTAAAAGACCTCAGGTTAGTTGAAACAAATAAAAGGTATCTTTCAGTTTTTCTGGAATTTAAAAAAAATCTCACAATAATATGCCATTTCATAATTTCTAACTGGCATACCAATATAAAGAATTGTCATTAAAATGGTACAGTACAAACAATGCGTTTTAAACCTGTCTACTCTGATAAAGGAAATCTAATCTTCAATAACGTTTCTTCAAAGTGGGATCAATCAACCATGTATTTTATAAAATTTACAAGAATTTCCATGCACCTCTTTTACACTGTGAACCTCACATGAATGCTATCACATGTAAGGGTTGAATATGAACCATTTGCAAGCTTCCCTTTAGAGGAAGGCCATGTGAGTAATTGATAACCTCAAAGGAAGTTCAGGTCTCACAGTAGATATGTGGTGTTGCCTTTGAGTTACAAAACAGACAGTATCACATACAGAAAATAGCAGGAGTACTTGGCTGGGGCCAATGTTGGCATCTCCAGCATTCCCTTGCCTTCAATCAGCCCTTCAGAGATGTGAATACCTTGTCTTTTAAGGTCCCATACTGTCCCTTGGACCCTATTCCATTGTTTAATATCAGTGACTCAAGACTGATTTTATTCATTAAAACTGATTTTGTTATACTGAAACCAAAGCTTATGCCTTTTCAATGCAAAATAGAAATAAAATTTAACTTCCATTATCTGTGTAATGATCCTTTGTACAGGTGACTGTTGTTATTAAATTACTCAGTAACTTTTTTTTTCTGCCTTTCAAATATTCCATCCAAACCCCTTTTGGTATCTTTGTCTTCTAGTAAACCTGCTGTTATGTTCTACCCCCTTGACAGGGCCTATTCAAAGAACAATTTTGAGCAAGGACATATTTTCAATACGCGGGACCTTTTCAGATCTGTGGCTTGTATTCTTCACCGTTCTGATTAGTGACCAACCCTTCCAGTGCCTTATGGAGCAAACATTTATGTCCAGGTTTCCTTAGAAACCACTTCCTCCTCACTTTACTAATAATTTATTTGGGGTATAGTTACTGGGATTACCTGTGCGTATTTTCTTTCAGAACCATTCAATGTATATTTGCCACGTCCCTAATTCTGTGCGCAGAACTATAAAGGCACATTACGCCCCTTTGTTTCCCAGCTTCCCACTCATTGAGTGCTCCATCCAGTTATTTTTTCCAGACTCTTTGTGAAAATTTCCATTGACTAAGATGAAAGAATTACTGCTTGTTGGCTATACTGAATATATTTTCCTTTGGCTGTCACAGAATGTTGTCTTCTTGGACAAGAGCAAACCTGTGTCCTAAAAGAGAATGTACCTTAGTGCCTGATCTTGCTTTATTGTATGAGAATGTTTATAAATGATTAGCTATTAAACCGTTTAAAGCATCTTGGTGGAATATTGCTTAATTAAAACTTCCCCAGTGCTTTTTGCTTTTTAAATCCTTGGTGATAATCAGACTGCCCCTAATATTCGGCAGGTGACCATTTCTACCCTGCACTCACATTCAGTTTCCCATGTATGTCTAGGTACTGGAAAAGTTTACCCACCATCACATAAAGGGGTACTTACCAGACCCCCACCCAAGCATTCCTAACCTGGAGTCAGTGGGCTCCTGAGAGGAAGAGGTTCCTCAGATGAGCGTCAGCGGGTAAGCCCCCCAAACTGTGGACAGTCTGCAGCCCCTGGAGAGAGTTCTGTAGCAGCACCAACTGGCAAAAACATGGCCCATATAAACAGCAGCTCTTTATAGAGTCCTCTGTAATTTTGATGCACATGAAGGTCCTGAGACCAAAAAGTTTGAGAACAACTACAAGTAGCCTATTTTTAAATTATGTTCAGTGTCCTCATCAAGAACAAAGCAGAGAATGAATAGACAAAAGTTTTCTAGCCAAGCTGGTAGTGGTCATGGGCAAAGGCTTATGGTAGAAAAGTCCACCCACACAGTGGCAGCAGTGTAAGCTGCTGTAAGTTTGGTAGACTGTAGAGCAAAGAGTTCCATTATAATTTTGCATCTTACACTTTGTTTAAAAATAAAAAAGGTTGAGGTGGCATATAGCAGCTGACTTTAAACCAAAAGCTGTCTCCATAAGAATGGAAAGTAAACTGATACTCTGACTGGTCTGTGACCACAGAGATAATTGTCACCTGTGATGGTCAGTTTTCTGAGTCATTTTGGCTAGGTTGTAGTCCCAGTTATTCAATCAAGCACTGTGTGTTGCTGTGAAAGTGTTTTGTAGATATGATTATATAATCAGCCGACTTTAAGGGAGATTATTCTAGGTGACCTGAGTGGGTTTGATTCAATCAGTTAAAAGGCCTTTGAAGTGGAAGCAAAACTTCCCAGAAGAATGTCCATCTGTGGGCAGCAGCTTCCACTCCTACCCGTGTTCCAGCCTGTCCTTCCAAATGGCCTGCCTGTCGTACGGATCTGGGACTTCCCTAACCAGCCTCCACGATCACGTAAGCCAATGAATGCCTTGCAGTAAATCCTAAGTATCTCCTACTAGTTTTGTTTCTCTGGTCAAACCCTGACTCATAAACCACCCTTGGAAAAGCAAATGGGTGATTTAGTTTATGCTACCACTTTTAAATAGCACTGTAATGTTTCTAAGAAAACATACCCAAAATTGTTTGGCCATGACCTAAACATGTTAAAAATAAAGGTTGCGCCAAAAAGAAAAAAGTTTATCAGTATCACTGGCCTGTTAGTGGTGTCCAGTGTGGCATGTACACATTCCAGGAATAGGCAAGGATATACATTAAGATGTGGAAAGAAGACACTGGAATGTAAACTAAGTGGGAGATTATTTATAAAAGAGAAAGTAAGCTTCCTCTTAATCTAATATGCAGATCAACACTCACACCCTTATATTCCCATCCATTTGTATGACAGTCACATGTCACCTAGGTAAGTGAATATGGGAGCTACTCATACTATCATGCAAGGAAGGTGTGGTGAAGAATTTCACCCTGTATCAAGATGTCAGTGGGGAGAGGCTAGTTTACTGAGTGCAGATGAGAAGGGGCCTATAGCAGCCAGTACAATTTTGATAATCCACGAGAAAGGAATTTTTGAACACAAAGTTCTGAAAGGAGAGAGTGAAATCATTTCAACAGATTTTAAGAAAAGGCTAGGAGTCTTTTTTAAGTACACATGAACTTTAAGATTCTTAAATCCTGTAATTAAGTCACTAGTATTTCCCATTTTAGATTTGTTTTTCTTTCTCCCAAAACGTATAGTGTTAAATTCCAAAATCTCTTGAGCCAAGTGAATTAAAAAACACAAAAAAGGCTGCTATTTCCTTCTCTAAAATGTTAGTAAACATAGAAAATGCAACTATTTCTTTGTTAAAAAATTATCAAGGAATTCAATGAACTCAGTAGGAAAGTCATTGCCTTTGTTCTTATCAGCATCATTTACAACAGACAGAAGTGGAAGCAGCACAGATGTCTATCACATGACAAATGGATAGACAAAATGTAGTATATACTTACAATGGAATATTCTTTGGACATAATAAGAAGTAAAGCACTGATACATGCTACAAAATGATGGATTCTGAAAACACGCTAAGTGAAAGAAACCAGTAGTAAAATACTATGTGCTTCTATTTATATGAAATGTCTAGAATAGTCAAATCTATGGAGTCAGAAAGTACATTAGCGGTTGCCCAGGTCTAGAGGGGTGCCGGAGTATGTGGAGTGATGGCCAATGGTGTGAGATTTCTTTATGGGATGATGAAAATGTTTTAAACTTAGATTGCAGTGATAGTTGCACAATTCTGTGAGTATACTGAAAAACTGAATTGTACACTTTAAATGGCTGGGTTTTATAAGGTACGTGAATTATATCTCGATAGAAATATTATAAAACATTTTTTAACACAGCCCAAAGGTTTGGTTTTGGGTTTTTTCTTTTAAGTCATTTGACATGCAAAAGCCTTGGCAAAGCCTATTGTAGATTAAAATGAAACAGATGGTCTTCAAAATATCAGGCACACATTGTCGAGAATATTGTACTGTGAATCTTACTGATGTCTGGCAGCCACAGTTAAAATGTGTGTGTGTAGCATGTGGAATTGCCAGCTGTAATTGACACTCAGCCGAATAGATAGGCGCGGGACTGGAATGACCAAACAATGCAAAGATAAAGCTCTTTGACGTGAAACAAAGGTGACTCTAATCTTTCAAAGACTCCTTAACCCTCATGATATTCTTGTGTAAAGCCCTACTCCAGCACGCTTGCTGGTTTCTAATAAAGAATCAAACATTCTTCCAACTCAACTAATGATGTAAATCATGTAACCTCAAAGTGGTGTTTTCTTCCCATCCTAGAAATACAATATAGTGCCAATCTTCCTTTGACGCTCAAATATTGAGTTGAACAATTGAACTGTAAGGCTCAGTGAAAGGAAGGCTATTGTGATGTGAGCTGTGGGATGAGCTATGAGCAACAGTGAAGTCAGGGATTCTCAACCTCAGCATTATTGACATTTCGGGGTGAGATACCTCTTGTGGGGACTGTCCTATGCATCCTGAGATGTTTAGCTGTATCCCTGGCCTCACCCCACTAGTTTTTTGTGTTATAGTGAAAGACTGCCCTTGGGCACTTATAAATGGAAACATTTCAAAGGAACAGAAGTGTAACTTTATGAACAATTTTGCCATGTAGTAAAAGACTCGCTATCTGCTGACAGAGGGTTTGAAAATAACACCTGATGTCTTTACCGTTATGAACACCAACTCAGCATGTAGAACTCACCTTCATTGTCCTTCTAGCCTGTCCATTAAATCTCCTAAGAAAGAAGGGTGTAATCATTTAAGTTATCATACATTGTACTTCAAGGATTTTAAGTGTGAATTTATTGCATTCTGAAACTATGATATGGATGTCATCTGCCCACACTTTTGAATATGTCATAACATTAATATAATATCACTCACTCTGTGATATTAGTTTTCCCCCTAAAAAGGACCATAGGTAGACTTGATGCCTCTGCCTTTTAAGAAGCTGGGGTTAAATGGTTCCTAATTTTTTCCTTCTTTCCTTCCTTCCTCTCTTCCACCTTCCCTCTTTCCCTCCCTCTCTCCCTCCCTTCATCCCTCCTTAAATAAGCATCACTGAGACACTAAAGGTACCATCCCCACCCACCCTTTGTAATCATTCTACAGGGAAGCATGGATATGCTAGCCTCTCCTATGAGCAGAATAGGAGGCTTTACCAAGAACCCTCCCCAGAGTTCAAGTCTATGGTATTGGCTACAGATGTTCACTAAAGGAATATAAGCTCATAGAAGGAAAGTCTTCTCCTAAAACTTTCAAAAAAAGAAAAAAATTGTTGATTGGAAGTTTTGTTAACTAATGGTGTAAAAATAAACATACTGGCTGTTTTCTGTATCTTAGTAAATGACACTCCATCTTCCCCCTTGCTCAAGCCGAAAACCATGGAGTCATCCTAATGCCTTTTTCTTCTCTCACCCCTCACATCTGATCCATCAGTCTACCCTCAGAATACATCTGGACTACAAGCACTTTTTATCACCTCTCCAAATGCCACCTAGCCTCTGCCATAATCACTCTTCACTGCGTTATTTGACAGCCTCCTCACGTCTTTTCCCAACACAGCCACCAATGTGATCCTTTTAAGACAGGGCACACAGTGTCCTACCTCTGTGCAAAATTCTCTCATGAGTATTCAGCTCACTCAGAGAGAAACCTAGTCCTCATAAGGGCTGGAAGGCCCAAGCCCATCTGGGCCCCTGTGACCTCTCTGTCCTCATCACCCATACTCCCCATCTACCCCTCCCTTCCATCCTCAGGATGCTTTTTGTACCTGAAACTTGCCAAGCAGGCTTTCTCGGAGCCTTTGAAATGACTCTTCCCTCTGTGTGCAATGCTTTTGCCCCAGGTACTCGCATAGCCCACTGCCTCACGTCCTTTGTGCCTCTGCTCCAGTTTCAACGTAATCAGTGAGGCCCACTGGAGAATCCGACACAAAATTGCACCCTTCCCTTCTACGACTGTCATTCTAGCATCTTTATTGCCTTCTTTTCTCCAAACTCTCATCCCCATCTGACATATATTCATTTTATACATTTTCTCTGTCTTCCTCAATGGAAAATCAACTCCCTAAGAGCTGAAATTTTATTTTGTTTACTGCTGTAGCCCAGCACCTGATAAAGATCTCAGTAGAAACTTGTTGAAATTGTGAATGGATAAAATCTCATCTTACCCAGTTGTAGGTGGAGTAGGACTAGTGCTGTTCTAAAGATTCTCTGTAGAAACTGTATTTTACCTGAAACTTTTATAATACTGTACATCAGCTATACCTCAATAAAAGAGAAGCTGTTGTTTTTTTTAACAAAATAATATTAAAAGCTTGTAATTTACCTCATTTTTCCATAAAGTAGGATGTGGGATACATCTTTGGTATCTATGGATCCCAGTTTTTTGGGCTAATTGCTACTCATCAAGGCTTTGCCTCATAATCACAGCTTCAGCTTCAGCTATGCTGTTTGTAAGTGACCCCCCAATTTTTATTTCTACTCCTTACATCTCTTTCCACCCATAAACCTTTATTTCTAAACTGGCCTTTTAATACAACCAGCAGCACCTACGTTTGGAGTAAGGCCATCTGACCCCTTGACTTGATCTGACTGTGTCATTAGCGAGCTGGGTCTCCTTGAAGGGAACGTTTATTCTCTCAGCGTCCTTATGTGTGAAACAGAGAATTGGGGTGGCTCAGCAGCTCTCAGCGACATGTTGATGGATTTTGACCACTTGAGAGAGAGTTGGGATGAGATGAGACTTATGCTTAACCAAAGTCTTTATTTTCTCTATTCCGGCTGGACAGTCTAAAGCTGCCTGTGGGTGAAAATATTAGTCATACGTGGAGAAGAGTCACTGGAGTCGATCGTCCCTGGCTATTCTAGCTCTCAAATTCCGTGTCTTTACCATTACAAGCAAGAGCTTCGTCTTCGTCACCCTGCTTGCTTTCCAAGTTCTCCTCCTCTCTCACCATTCAGCAAGGCTGCAGGCTCTCTAAATACTTTTTCTTTATTCCTCTCTCTGTATATCCATTCTGTTAATTTTATCTGCAAAAGGTACCTCTCAAATACTCATCGTTATTCAAATTCACATCTTTATTCCTTCTCATCTCAACTTCCTCCATTCTTCCCATGACCAGATTCGTGCTGAATTATAGCTCCAAACATGATCAGTGGATCCTCTTTTCCTGTTAAAGTTCCTCCACTTAGGGTTCAAAGCCCTCGGTGATAGAGTCCCAGGCTACCCTTCCACCCAGCTAACCTGTGATGTTTAATATACCCCATCTGCCTCTCCAGCTCCGTCCGTATCGGTGGGCTCAGCGGTCTTCTCGCTTCTCATTGGTCTGTGGGGAGCCTGAACAGGAGATTAGCAGG